TCAGGGTGTGGTCTTCCCTTTTTAATCTTTTATGTGGCAGCCAAACAGCTCCAGTCGGGTAGAAAACAAAGCCAAAATCAAAATCAAAGGCAAAAATGGGGTTTTCCGATAGCGTAAGGGAGGCTATGTGACCTCCAAGCAACACCAGTTGGGTAGCAAACAAAATGAGAAGCAAAGTAAAAAGCAAAAGTGATAATGAGATAATAATGAAGCAAGACAAAAAACAACAACAGCATGCAAGAAAGGACAAGAAACAAAACAAAAAGAAAAAAAAAAAAAAAAAAAGAAAGAAGGAGGCATAAAAATAGTAAGCACAGGAGGAAGTGGAATAAGTGACGCACATTGACAGGATTGTAATCAATGAACTGAAACAAAATGTGAATGAATTGTTGAGCATAAAACTAATGATCTACTCTGTAAACCTTCACCCAATGCACAGTAAAAGATTAAAAAAAAAAAAAGTTCATAGAAAAAATTCCATCATATTTCAATGTCATTTTACCACAAACCTTTGAAGCCCCATTATATGTGTACACTATTGTTGGTGTCATCCAGTTGGTTCTACTCATAGCGACCCTGTTTCCGAGGAGCAGAAGTTTCACCCACTGACATTGTGGTTAACGATCTGGTGCTTATCCTATAGCCAGGACTCAGCACATATATATGTACATGTTTTTAATTTTATATTTGACTGAGTCATTTAAAACTAAGCTGTATATATTACACTGAGTTTCAGACAAATTTCAAGAGATAAAAGTCTTCAAACTCTCTTCCAGATTTGCCCTGATATATCTTACATATAACAGTATACATAGCATATGAATTACATTGGAAAGATATACTTTACTATATCTCTGTAAATATGTCCGATATGCACATACAAGTCTTGTCTTGCTTTCTTTAACAAATTTTAGAATAAGCTGCATAGCATAAATGTGACAAGATCATCAGCTTTACATTCAACAAATAATATACTTTATTTCAGACAATGTATTTTAAGACAGAAATAAGCAGCAGTCAAAAAATCAAAGGATGTATTGCATTAGGCAAATCTGATGCACAAGACATTTTTAAAGTGTTGAAGAGCAAAGATGTCAACTTGAGGACTAAGGTGTGCATGACTCAAGCCATGGTATTTTCAATAACTTCATATGCATGCAAAAGCTGGACAGTGAATAAGGAAGAACATAGAAGAACTGATGCCTTTGAGTTATGGTGTTGGAGGAAAATATTGAAAGTGCCATGGGCTGCCCAAAGAACCAACAGATCTGTGTTGGAAAAAGTGCAGCCAAAGTGCTCCTTGGAGGCTAGGATGGCCAAACTTCGTCTCTCATACTTCAGACATATTGTCAGGAGAGACTTTACTAATAGGTTTAGACAAATAAATACTTTGTAAGATGTGGAGGAGGAAAAATAATTCATCTCAAATGAGGAAAGGACATTAATAGATGTGGATTTAACTGAGGTAGTTCCAACTTAGACATGGTTCTGTTCAGATTGTTCTAATGTTTGTTGATTATCTCTTTTCATTTTATTTTCTCTTTTAAGTTTTCCTTTTTGCCCGTCATTCAGCAGTGTTTCAAACAGTAAATCATAATACTAATCATTTGCAAGTGAGCATCTGAGAATGGTAATGTCAGCACAATATGTGCTGCTACATTGTATGGAGCACATATTACTAATGATAAGATGGACATACACGCTCACGCCAACCTGGAACTCAGAGGTGTGGTTTGTCATAACTTGAGTAGGTTGTAAGTCAGAGACTATCTGTACTTATTTCAAATATGAAATTTGACTACCACATATTTAAATTGGAATCATTTCTTAATAAGTATATTTTCAGATATTACAAAAAAATATTGCTAAAGTGACCTAGCAATAGGCACTTTATTGGCAGTCACTGATTTAGACATTAAGGAGTCCTAATGAAAGATTTTTTAAGTTCTTGGTTCTAATTGCAAACTTTGTGGTTTGAATCCACCCAGGGAGTCTACTGGAGAAAGACCTAGTGATCTGCTCCCATAAAGATTACTACCAAGATTGTCCTATAGGGCAGGTCTGCTCTAGTCACGTGTGGTTGCTGTCATCCAGTATTGACTACAAGTACATTGTAGACATGAACATTGATTAGGCACTCTCCAGTCACTGGAGAAGGATACCATGCTTGGTAAAGTGGAGGGTCAGAGATAAAGAGGGAGACCCCCAGCGAGATGTGATTGGCAAAGTGGCAGCATCAATGGACTCAAGCGTGGCAACAGTAGTGAGGATGGCCCAGGGCCAGGCAGTATTTCGTTCTGCTGTGCATAAGGTCGCTTTGAGTTGGTACCAACTCAATGGCACCTAACAACAACAACAAATTAGCAAAGTGAAATGCTTACCACAGTGACTCTGTCTCCACCGTTAGTGACCTGCTTATAATAAGGTGATCCTGAAAGAACTCTCCAGGCAGAAAGGCCACAGCTAGAAGCTTTTGATATATCTGATTCAGCAGTTTCACAACCACCAACCAGTAGAAGTCTAAAAAGGAAAAGAGGAAAGAATTGATAAACTGCAAATATGAACATAATACCAAAAACAGAAAGCAAAACATTCACCTTTAGAAAGAAAACTAAACTAAAATTACTACACACTAAAAACAGAAAGTGAGCCCTGGTGTAGGATAAGTACTGTACAAGGTTGGCAGTTCAAATTCACTAACAGCCCTTCTCAGAAACCCTATACAGGGTCACTAGGAGCAGGAACCAAACTCAACTACACTACAACAACAAATGTAGAAAGAAAATATTTCAGAAGAAATGAAATAGACTCTCTGCTTCTCATCATACACGGAAACAAATTTAGAATGTATTAAGTAAGGACCTAAATGTGCTTAGTTTGCGTAAAACCATAAAATTCTTAGACCAAGCAGGAACAATGTTGTTAGGCCAAGCTTTATATAATGGATTAGCTAGTCTAATAACTTTTTTTTTTTTTTTTTAATTTAAGGTTTTTATTGTGGATTGAGTGAATGAAAGTTTACAGGGCACATCATCAGTTTCACATTCAACAATTCATATAACTTGTTTCATTACATTGATTATAATCCCCTCCATATACCATCAGTTAAAAGTATTTCTCTTTATCCACTTTAGCTTTTTTTTTTTTTTTTAAAAGACACACAAACAAAAAACCCCACTCAGGCATATATAATAAATTACATCTCCAAAGGGCACATTCTGCAAGTCTGCTCCTGGCCACCAGTTCTTAGTCCTTCTCTTCTTAGTTGATGAATCTAGAGTCCTCCATGCCCCCATCTCTACCTAGTCTAATAATTTTTTAAAAGTACAAACAGCAAGAGGCAAAATTAAAAATTGGACCTAATAAAAATTTTAAACTTTTGCTTATCAATAATCTTTACTGAAAAAGTGAAAAGCTACTTACTGGGAGAGTATCTGGAAACCATATATTTGACAGGAAATTAATAACCAACAAAATAAATATATAACTTTAACAAATTAACAAAAAGACAAATAACCCATTTTTATAATGGGCACAGGACTTGAATGAACATTTGTTTTGAGGGGGGCTGGTAGGTGGGTGGGTAGGGGTGGGTAGGAGTAAGGAGTTAGGGGTATGGCTAGGTCTAGGCAAGGCCAAGAAGTTCACAATTGTTAAGGCTACAATTATGACTAAGGTTAATTTTAAGGGTAGGGGTTGGGCAAGGGATAGGAGTAAGGCTACAGTTAGGATTCGTTTTTTTCTTGAAATCTTGATTTCTCCTCCATTTGGAAGTTCTATGACTACATTATTTTTTATTTATTTATTTTACTTTATATTTTCTTGTTGCAAACTAATATCTCTGATTCCTTATTTCCAGTATTCCTTGTATGTCATTGTAGGATAAGTGCTCGACCACAAGTCTGTTTGAACCTCAAAGGTGGTAGTTCAAACTCACCAATTGCTCCTCAGAATCCCTATACAAGGTTGCTACGAGTTGGAACTGACTCAATGGCAATGAACAACAGGTTTGTTTTACTTTGTTGTTAAGCGCTATTGGTTCCAACTCATAGTGGCCAAGAGCAACTAGAGGTTTAGAAGTGCCACCTTGTGGTTCAAACCAACCCTGAGACGGTCTATCGCTTATCTTTCAGTGTCATTTGTTTTACTTTGTTGTTGTTATTAAGTGCAATCCAGTCGCTGGATATAATAGCGACGCTGTAATAAGGTGTGACTTGCAAGCTTGAACCATCAACCTTGTGGTTCAAACTGATCTTGCAGTTCAGAACACTAACCCTCAGTGCCATACTCAGAAAGAAGAAAGAACCAAAATCAACACATTTTGGTGTTGTTTCAATCTGGGTTGAATTCTGGGTGATATTGTCATGTACGTTAGTCTCAGGTTGTTGTCTGCAGCTGTTGGTTCTCTGTCCAAAGAACTCCTCCCCTTCAGTATTTTTTTGTAACGTTGGTCTGGTTTTTGCAATTTCTTTTCAATTCTGTGTATCTGGAAATAGCCTAATTTCACCATCATATCTGACGGACAATTTTGATAGCTATAAGATTCTTTGTTGGCAATTCTTTTCTTGCAGAGTTTTATATATGTCATCCCATTGTCTCCTTGCCTGCATGGTTTCAGATGAGAAATTTGAGCTTAGTCTTATTAGTTTTCCTTTTTAGGTAACTTCGTTTTTTTGTGAGCTACTCTCAGGATTTTTTTCCCCCTTATCTTTGGTTTTGAAAAGTTTGATTATAGAATGTCTTGGTGATTTTCTTTTGGGTTCTATACTGTTAGGAGTTCGCTGAACTTCTGGTATGGCTATCTTCTCATCTTTTCTGATGTTAGGAAGGTTTTCCAGCAACTCTTAGACAGTTTTCTGTATGGTTTTATTTGCCTCTTCCTGTTCTAGAATTCTAATCATATATAAGTTATCCCTCTTGATAGTGTCCCACATAAATCTTAGGCTTTCTTTAGATAATTTCATTCTTTTTTCTG